AATTTTCAATCACACTGATTCTGTAATGCTTTCAGCCTCTGATCTCTTGCTGAACAAGAAGGAGAGACGAAAGAACAGTCTGAACCGCAATTTCATGGGAGACTACATTGGCATGGACAACCATCCAGAGATCCGACAGTTCTTGGGTCGTAGGGAGAGGGTTGATTTTGCTGACGTGGTGGCCAAATATGACCGCAGATTTAAGGTTTGACTCAACGTCCCCTTTAACATTCTGAAACTTCCTGAGTAACTGTTTAGTAGTATTTTGTGCTAGTTTACTGAACCGACAGATGCTTTATTCTGCACATGTAGTTCATCTGACACATACTCACATGCTGTTTCAACACCCACAGACTGTCAAGCGTGACCTCATTCTCACCCCAAAGTTCCTCTATTTGATTGGACGTGAGAAGGTGAAACAGGGTCCTGAGAAAGGCCAGATTCGGGAGGTCTTGAAGAGAAAAATAGAGGTGGAAAAGATCCAGTCTGTCTCTCTTAGGTACTCTATCATGTAATATCCATGATAGCCTTTAGGCCTTGAAGGATCTCCCTACATCAAAGCTTCAAAATGATTCATAAATCATACATTTAAAGTAGAATGAAAATAAAGTTCAGCAAAAATCTAAATTCTGTGATCATTTGCTCACCCTCAAGTTGTTCCAAACCTGTATGAATTTCTTTCCTCTGCTGAACACAAAAGATATTTTGTAGAATGTTATTAACCCGTTTCTAAATTCCCATTGACTTCCATAGTATTTTTTTCAATACTGTCGAAGTTTTGCTTATCTACATTCTTCAAAATATCATACAGGTTTGGAACAACGTGTGGGTGAGTGAATGATGCCTTTAAACCAGTATTTAAGCAGGTTTTTATAATTGCATATGGATGATGGGTTATTGATCAGTTATTGTATCTCTCTTTCCTCAGCACTTTACAGGATGACCTCTTCATATTGCACGAGGATCAATACGACAGTGTGCTGCAGTCTGTCTTTAAAACCGAGTTCCTCAGTCTTCTGTTCAAGCGTTACGAGGAAAAAACACGGAAAAAGCTGCCGCTGAAGTATAACAACCTGTGAGCAATGTTTCCCTCACTGAGAAATTGACCATGTGCTGTATTATTCAGAAAAGTAGGATATGTTGGTCTTGTCATTTCAACATTGAACATTTTTCTCTATCAGACTTGAATTTAAGGTGAAGAAAGGAGGATGGGGTCCATTTTCATCTGCTGGCTCTCGACAGATCCAGTTTCAGATGGGTCAGGGTGATGAAGCAGTTCTGAAACCCAGCAGCAAAGTCCTGACTGTCAGTATTGGACCCGGTCTGCCTAAAAACGCAAGTGAGTATGTGGTGAAATTTTGTGTTTTAGTAAAAAATATTTTAAATACTTACAACACCAAGTTATACTTTTTGGGGTATAGAATCACAGTTAGTGGTCTTGAGAAATTGACACCCATTTTGCATACAATTTTGAGATCATGAAGAAATATCCCCATTAAAAAATTTGGGTTTGTAAGATTTTTTCTCTTATGCTCATGAATATGGAGGACCAAACCTGCAGAAATAATAAAGGAATAACAGGAAAATAAAGAAATAAACGACTCGATAAAAACAAATATAGTTCATTTGTAATAAAATTTTATCCTGAATAAATTTGACCTTTTTCCTATATGTATTATTTTCTGTATTTATTTTTACATTTATTTTTATTCTTTTTAAGTTTTATTTACTTATCATTTATTTTTATATTTATTTATGTATTTATTTATTTTAAATGTATTTATTCATGCGTTTATTTATTTGTTATATTTATTTATTCCCACATGTATTTATTTCCAGATTAATTTATTTATTCATTTATTTATTTTTACTTTTCCATGTGCAGCATGGAGATGAGGGAGGCGGTCCTTGCGGAGCTCCGGTGAATCATTGGTTGAGAGCTCACACAGAAGCGTCAGATCAAACTAGAGATCGGAGTTTGTGGGATCAACTGCAGAGTTGCAAGATATTTTCACAGATTCACATTATTATGTCGAATTACACAGAGAAAATCATGACTCACAAAAGCATTGTGAGCCTAAATGCAGTCGTAAACCAGTTGCGCCAAAGGACCTAGTTAGATCATATGTCATATGTAACTTTAGAGATGGTCCCTACACTTGTGAATATCGAAAGTCCAACGTCAAGCCAACTTTATGGCAGTGGGCCGCGATTCCAAACCTTTGATGCAACTGTTTTACGATCAACTTAATGCTTTTGGGAGTCTTTTCTCTGTAATTACAAAATGAACACAAGCCTTAGAAACCTCTACCAAGTGTGTCTAGAGGCGTCATCAAACTAGAAACTCATCGACGACGTTGATGGACTTAATAACGATACTGTCAGGATAAGTAGGTCAATTCAGTCGCTATAAAATAATTCGACATAACGTGAATCTGTGAAAATATCTTGCAACTCTACAGTTGATCACACAAACTCCGATCTCTATCGTTAGTTTGATCTGATCTTCTGCGTGATCTCTCAACCAATGATTCGCCGGAGCTCCGCAAGGACCGCCTCCCTCATTTGCACACGGAAAAGTAAGAAATAAATTAATAAATCAATCTGGAAATAAATACACGTGGGAATAAAAAAATTATAAATACATACATAAATAAACTATATTAAAATAAATGCAAAAATACATAAAATATTTTTATTTAGGAAAAAGTAATACAAAAATTAATTCAGGGTTAAATTTTATTAGAAATGAACTATATTTGTTTTTATCAAGTCATTTATTCCTTTATTTATTTTCCTGTCATTTTATTTATTTATTTATTTATCTATATATTTATTCGTTTTTAATTTCTGCAGGTTTGGTCCTCCATACATGAAGGCTGTGTTTATTTGATCAAAAATACTGTAAAAACTGTGAAATATTATTACAATTTAAAAGATCTGTTTTTGGTTTTAACATATTTTAAAATGTAATTTATGCCTGTGATGCAAATCTGAATTACTCTAGTCTTCAGGATACATGATCCTTCAGAAATAAATCTAATATGCTGATTTGGTGCATAAAAAAACACGAATATGCTTATAAACGTTCTTATTATTATCAATGTTAAAATCAGTTGTGCTGCTTAATATTTTTGTGAAAACAATCATATTTTTCTTCCAGGATTTTTAGAAAGTTCAAAAGTGAGATGAAAGACTTTTTTCTAATATGTCATAATTATAATTTTTGCAGGACCCACTCGCCGTGATAACCGAAAAAGCAGGTACATAGGGAACCAAAATCGCAATGTAGGCCAGTGTTCACGTGGTAAGACCACAATTTTACATATTTCACAGAAGTTTCAGCTAAACTGTTTTAGAAATAGTTTTAAAATGTTCCTATGGCCTGTGATTTCAGAGCCTCCTAAGTCTGATCGTCGAGGAAGAGGAACCCAGGGGCAGCATGCAGGTAGAAACTCTCTGCTCCGCCAGCAGTCCAGTATGGATCAGCCCACCCTTCCCAGACTGCATGGATATACACTACCTTTCAAAAGTTTGGGATCAGAGAAATTAAGTCAATATTTATTTTTTTTGAACGAAAGAAATATTTTTTTCAGCAAGGATGTGTTAAATTAATAAAAATTGATGGTAAAGACTTATATTGTTAGAAAATATTTCTATTTTGATTAAATGCTTTTTTTTTTACTTTTCTTTTTTACTTTTTCCTGAAAAAAGTCTCTCGGGTTCCAAAAAAAATATTCCAACATTCATAATAAATCAGCATATTGTTAATAAATCAGAATGATCTCAAAAGGATCATGTGACACTGAAGACTGGAATAATGGATGATGAAAATTCAGCTTTGCATCACAGGAATAAATTGCATTTTAAAATAGAAAAAACGTTACTTTAAATTGTAATATTTCACAATATTACTTTTTTTCTGTATTTTTGATCAAACAAATGCATCCTTGATGAGCAGAAGCAGCATCTTTTTTTAAAAAAAACATTAAAAATCTTACTGGTCCCAAACTTTTGAACAGCCGTGTATATAAATTATTATTATTATTATTAGGCTATTATTATTAAATGTACACATAATTTTACACACTTTTACCATTTATCATTGTACACTAATAAAAACTGTTTAAAACTAATTTAATGAGCTGTTTGGTGCAAATAGATCTTTTGGAGCTTCAGATAGAGACTATTTTCTAAAGGTGCTGTCAGTGTGTTTAGTCAATAAGAACAATTCCCACTTTTCTAGTTTTTCAGCTTAATGCACTCAGTTTCAAAACTGAAGGTGGCCCTATTTGCAGAGACAATAACACCTGCTGTCCGGTGCACATGATCCTGACAGCATCTGTCCAACAGCAGTGCATCTCTCCACCCTAAACACTGTTGTTTTAATCCCAAACACCCTGACACCTGCACTCGCCCACTGCTGGGTGGATATACTGAAGCCCCCTGTTTACCTTGCGCCTCAGCTCATGGAAGCAAGCAGAGATGGCTTCTTTAACTAATTCAGTCAATGATTGAAAAAATTATACAGTTGCACTTGTAGTTAAAGTGCTTTTTGTCTGCACTGAAGCGTGAGGTTGCAAATAGAGCGCACACAAGAGCTCTTTTCCACCCTGACCCAAGACCCGCAGGTTCTGTACTGTTTACTCACTGTCCTGTGGTCCATTTCACATGATTGCAGTGACTAACTTCCTGCGCTGTCCCCCGGCCATGCACATATGGACATGAATAAGCATGTTTTTCCTGCACTTCCCCATCTAACAAGGATTTTGGTGATGATTATCACATGAGAAAGAGAGATCTTGCCAAAGCCTCACCCCTGATCTGTGCCAACTGTGAGCTCAGTCACTTTGTGTTGACTGTCCATCGTCCAGCGTTTCAAACAAACGCTTGCCCAGATCAGAGTACATCATTTAATGCTGACGTCACGGATGGCTTCTGTATTCGGCTGGAGTAATGGAGCAGGCCAAATGCTAATTAACGCTGGAAGAGGAGTCATCATGGGGAGAGATAAAAGGTTTTATTGAATCCAGGGCGATGCATTCGGTGTTATTCTATTAAAAGTGCTCTTCATCTCACAAGTGGTCCAGTAAATAGGCTTTGATATACAATTGCGGGTTCTTAAGTTCCCAAAAGAGAGAGAGAGAAAAACACATTTTAAGTAACATAAATGTAGTCCATAACTACACTACCGTTAGAAAGTGTCGATTTTTCTTTTTTTATAAGGAAAGTAATACATTTATTCAGCAAGGATGCATTAAATTGACCAATAATGAGCACCAAATCAGCATATTTAGAATAATTGATAAAAGATCATGTGACAGTGAAGACTAGAGCAATAGTGTCTGCTGAACATTCAGCTTTGCCATTACAAGAACAAAATATTTAAAAAGAAAAGTTATTTTAAATTGTAATAATATTTCACAATTTTAATATTTTTACTCTATTTTTAAATAAATGCAGCCTCGGTGAGTCATCAGAAACAGTAAAAATCAGACTCCAGATTTTTAACAGTCGTGTATACTCCAAGTCTTCTGAAGCCATACTATTATTCATGTTACGAAAGCACTGAAATTTAAAGGGATAGTTCACCCAAAAATGAAAATTCTGTCGTCAATCACTCACATTGGTGTCGTTCCAAACCCGTAAGACCCTCGTTCATCTTTGGAACATAAATTAAGATATTTTTGATGAAATCCGAGAACTTTCTTACCCTGCATGGACAGCAACACAACTACCACTTTCAAGGCCCAGAAAGGTAGTAAGGACATTGTTAAAATTGTCCATGTAACGTCAGTGATTCAACCTTAATTTTATAAAGCTACAAGAACACTTTTTCTGCACAAAGAAAACAAAAATCAAGACTTTATTTATCTTCATTTGTGTTCCAAAGATGAACTTCGGAAGATGAAGGTCTTACAGGTTTGAAAAGACATGAGGGTTGGTTACAAATTGGTTACATTATTGTTAACGTTAAATATTTTCGCACAGTATTTGAATGTGTGTAAGCGTGGATGAGATTTGAGCTGTGGCAGAGAGGAAGATTTTCAGCTAATAAAAACAAGTCACAAATATATAATTTGACTATATAGTGCATATGGCCTGCTTTTATGGAGCTTTTTCTTTCTTTCTTTCTTTTTTGATAACCCCTGGACATTGTATGGTTTTATTGAATGAAAAAGAGCAGTATCAGCATTCATCAAAACATCTCCTTTTATGTTCCACAGAAAAAAAGCAAGAGATACAGGTTTGGATATTGAGTAAATAAAGGCATAATTTTCATTTTTAGATTAACTGTCCCTTTAAGAACAAATATTTACCTTAAAAGAAAATGAATTGTGTTGTCATTCATGTTATCATCTGTTAAAAGAATATACTGCTGAACTATATCTGGTGAGAAGCAACAAAATGTGTTTTATCTCTGACACATTGTACTCCACCTCCCACTGGCTGCCGGTTATATAGAGAGACTGGGTGATCATAAGTTCAGCACTGTTTGTTTGTCAGATGAAGCACTTTGTGGAGCTGGAAGTCCTCACAGCCTATTAGATGCATTTTTAGCTTGTCATGTACTTGCTACTTGCTGTAAATATTTGTGCATAGGAAATGTCACAGAAACCACAAACAGACGTTTCAGTTTTGCATTTCAGCCTGGTTAATAGAGGCCACCAAAGCCTTATTATGAAGAACTAGGTTTGCAGTTATACGTTATGAATTCTTGTCCTATATTAGTCCAGCAGCCTGTGACACTGTTCTGTTTCATTCTCAGGGTTGTAGTAAGAACAGCCCAGGGCTGCATGTCGTAATGGGAAATGAGGCTTGTGATATGGACTCCATGGTATCAGCCCTGACCTTCGCCTACTTTCGTTCAAAGGTATGCAATGCCCAACCTAATAAACCACTTTTGCTGCAGTGTTCTTGGAAAATTGTGTCAGAGATAATAGACGTGATAATTCTGGATTATTGTTTTGTTCATCATTAATGTTGTCGTCTCGTAGAGTCTTGATTGTAAGAGGATGCCGGTCCCTGTGCTCAACGTCCCACGGGCTGAGTTCCCCTTGCGCTCTGACAGCACCTTTCTGCTGAGAGAGACCGGTCTGTCGCAGGACTGCCTGCTGTTCAGAGACGAGGTGGACCTCCACGGCCTGCACAAGAACAAACAGCTGACACTGACCCTGGTCGACCACAATGTTCTGCCCAGGTCAGTCTTCTGTTCTGTAGTACAAATGCAGTGTGTGTACTACACCATGTTCCGTCTTCCATTGTCACATATAAAAGGAATGCAATTTTAGAGTAATTAATTAACTGAATTTTCATTTTAATATATAAAATATATTCAAAATAAATATTACTGTTCAAAAGTTTGGGGTCAGTAAGATTTGTTGTTGTTGTTGTTGTTGAAAGGAATTAACATGTTTATTAAGCAAGGATGCATTAAATTAATCAAAATGTATTAATTAATTACAAAATGTCTACTTCTATTTTAAATAAATGCCGTTCTTTAAAGAATCCTAAAAAAAAATTTAAGCAGCAACAAAACAGGAATGATAATAGCAGAAAATATTTCTTATGCACCAAATCACTGTATTAAAATGATTTCTGAAAGATCATGTGATGTGTTGAAAATGTAGCTTTGCCATCACAGAAATAAAGTATGCTTTAAAATATATTATAATTGAAAACTGTTATTTTAAATTGTAATTTTATTGTAATTTTAAAATGGTGAGCATATAGGAGACTTTAAAAAAATTAATAATCTTACCTGCCATAATCTTTTGAACAGTAGTAGTTATATATTTAATATAGCAATAATACATTTATAATAATAATAATAATAATTAATTGCAATAGTATTATGAAGCATTTTACTGCACCATATGCCTGAATTTTTGTAAATGTGTGGTAAAACGGTCTTGTTAAAATTGAATGGCAACAAAAATAAATCTAAATCTAAATCTAATTAGTTCACCACTAATAGCGACATATGAAATGTTTATTGTACCGAACCTGTGACCACAGAAGCAGGATTCGTACTGAACTGAGACATTTGACCTCTTTACCATTTATTTATAGATCATAGATATTATTGATTTTTATTTAAAAAAATCTGTGCAATGCCAGTTAACTTTTGAAGTGAAGATCAGGAGATTTGGTCAACTCTTTTTTTAGTAAATCTGTTATTCTGTAGGGCTGACAGTGAGCTGGAGGATGCAGTTGTGGAAGTAATTGACCATCACCTCCTACAGAGGCCCACATCCCCCTCCTGTCCCGTCACTGTGGAGCCTGTGGGCTCCTGTGCCACCTTGGTGACTGAGCGCATTGCCCAAAAAGCACCTGATGTGCTCGACCAACAAGTGGCTCAGCTTTTATACGGTGAGTGTCATGGTGATGTGATAAACACGGAGAGGAATGTGAGCTCTCACAGCATGACTGCGGCTCAATCTGTTAGACATCAGATGGGCTCAGCATGGGCTTCAGTGGCATTTAGCCAGAAGAGATACTTGATAGAGATGTGAGATGTCAGCAGAAAGATAACATCTTGTTAACTTGCAAAATGTATGTGTTGACAGGTACCATTTTACTAGACTGTGTTAACATGGCACCTGAAGCAGGTAAAGTCACCCCTAAGGACAGCCAGTATGCCGTCTTTTTGGAGAAACGTTTTCCAAAACTGCCTAAGAGGGGCGCTCTCTTTCAGTCGCTACAGAATGCCAAGTTTGACGTGTCAGGTGAGAGGATCTTGTACTGTGTAGGTTAATGAAACAAACCACTTGATGTAGACATATTAAACCGTATAATTTGAATGCATGAATTAATTGAAAGTAATTTCACGGTACTGTCCTGTATTTCAGGCCTCTCTACAGAACAGATGCTGTTGAAAGACATGAAAGCAGCATCTGGTGGAGATCTAAAATTGGCTGTCAGTGTCATTTACATGACACTAGAGGTCAGTGCTGTTATGACATTTCACTTGACTTCTAAAAGCTTCTACAATCTCAGAAGCTTGGAATGTATTGATTTGGCTGAGACAGCTTTTAACCAAAACTGTGTTATTCATATTGATATATGCAGATATATACAATACATTGGAATAATTTTATTTTTATTTTTGTGACCTGATCGGTGTTTTTAAAAGATTTAATCACACCCTTAAAAAGAACTACAAAGTAATTTTTTAATTGCTATAGTAAAATTCTGTTAAAATTCATTGAATATTTCTTTTTCTTTCATTGTCTTTCTTTCAAATGGACACAATGAAAGGAAAAGAAAAATAAATATAAGAATAGCATTTAGTTTGTTTTTGTTTTTTAATTGCAGTAATACATAGGAACAATGAAGGAAGTAATACATTACTAACATGATCATTTCAATGCTGGTTTTAAACAATAAAACTCACTTTTTAGTGATTGAACGTCACGCATTACTCAGTCTGTTTTATTAACTATTAAATGAGATACTGAACAATTGTTTGCTATATATGCAGAAGTGTATTCTTGTTTTCTTAAAAGTAACTTTGAATTCTTTCATCTTGAAGTTATATAATACTTATAGCACAAGTTGCTAAATAAACAGTGATGCATGGCCAAAAACAAAAGATACTTGTTTTATGCACGTGTATATATGTGTGAGAGGCATCCAACCTGTTTTGTTCAGTGCTGAATATCCAGAGATAAGTTAAGATAAATTATGGGAATAAAAATGCTGATTACAATACATAACATTGTTTAATATGTGCGTGTGTGTGTCTCGCACACCCACTGATTACACCAGACGTTAACCTCCGCGACAGACTCTCCTCTTCTCTTGTTAATACACATACAATAGTAAGACATGAGGTTGCTGAATCAGATGTGAGAAGTATCAAAACTTTCTTTGTTCACACTACAGGAGACTGGGGGAAAATTGTTTTTTGTTAGTTTTTTTAAACATGCTATAAGAAATCCAAAGATTTAAAACCGGCCCCGATATGTTAATTATAACACTTGAAAAATAAATCACATTACATATAGAATCTCAATTATTACTTCAAAATATAATAATGCCTCTTATTTAATGTTTATTATGTAATTATTTTAACTGTCAAATTGCCAAAGAAGTTAATCAGAAATATGTCAAATGATTCAGAAGAGATCAGAGGCATTTCATAAAATTAAACTGTGTTTGATTGATCTCTGCATATTTTAAAGATTGTTTTTCAGTAATGTATTTATATTTCATTAAAATACCTTACACTAATGAAATGTTCTTAATATCTTAGCTGAAACAAACATATATGTTGGAATTCGATGGCATCAAAACTTTACACAACAGAAGGAAAATTTTGGGCATTGCAAATATGTATCTCATTTGAAATTGTCTTAAAGTGAAATGAGCTTTTATTTTCTTCTTATGATGCTCACATGTTAAAAGTGCTGTTCTGTCTTTAGGCTTTTCTTCAGAGGCGTGGACTACAGCAGGCCCTCTGCGAGTTCTGCCACAATCACAACTACAACCTGGTGGTTGCCATGACCATCTCTTTCATTGATAACAAGCAGCCCCTCCGACAGCTAGCCGTCTACAGCTCCAGCACTGTCTACAGGGAAGAGGTACTCATTACGCTTTATTTCTTTCCAGGAATGAAGCTACAAAAGGCTTACTTATAATTGACTGCATATTTGGCCAGGTTAGGAGTTATAAAAAATAGCAAATTAATTTTGAAACAAAAAGCACACTCTTCACCTTGAAGGTCTTTTATCGAATGTATTTTATGATAAACCCTCAGCAAGAATTAAGGGGGGGTGGGGGGGTTGTATTGGTGTATCTCTGTAACTTATAAGTTATGTATGGAATCTCATTGCATGCTTGGAGCATTTCTAAAACATGCTGGCACGATTATTTCTGATGTTTACTTTAAATTTAGTAGATCACGTGCAAATGACATGTTTTGTCCTAAATGAAGTGAATTTTGTGTTTATGCTATGCATTTAGCCTCAGCACTCGGTTCCACAAAGACAGAGAGGAAATGTAGACTGTGAAATGTAAGGAACTACTGCTGTGGGCACAAAGTGTGCTCATGTGCCCATCCTCATGACTCCTCATGTGAATTCCTCATTAATACTGAAGCACAACCGATTCCAAGTCAGACACACCCAGACTCACCGCAGGGCTGGGCGGCCTGTCTCGCACACCCACTGATTACACCAGACGTTAACCTCCGCGACAGACTCTCCTCTTCTCTTGTTAATACACATACAATAGTAAGACATGAGGTTGCTGAATCAGATGTGAGAAGTATCAAAACTTTCTTTGTTCACACTACAGGAGACTGGGGGAAAATTGTTTTTTGTTAGTTTTTTTAAACATGCTATAAGAAATCCAAAGATTTAAAACCGGCCCCGATATGTTAATTATAACACTTGAAAAATAAATCACATTACATATAGAATCTCAATTATTACTTCAAAATATAATAATGCCTCTTATTTAATGTTTATTATGTAATTATTTTAACTGTCAAATTGCCAAAGAAGTTAATCAGAAATATGTCAAATGATTCAGAAGAGATCAGAGGCATTTCATAAAATTAAACTGTGTTTGATTGATCTCTGCATATTTTAAAGATTGTTTTTCAGTAATGTATTTATATTTCATTAAAATACCTTACACTAATGAAATGTTCTTAATATCTTAGCTGAAACAAACATATATGTTGGAATTCGATGGCATCAAAACTTTACACAACAGAAGGAAAATTTTGGGCATTGCAAATATGTATCTCATTTGAAATTGTCTTAAAGTGAAATGAGCTTTTATTTTCTTCTTATGATGCTCACATGTTAAAAGTGCTGTTCTGTCTTTAGGCTTTTCTTCAGAGGCGTGGACTACAGCAGGCCCTCTGCGAGTTCTGCCACAATCACAACTACAACCTGGTGGTTGCCATGACCATCTCTTTCATTGATAACAAGCAGCCCCTCCGACAGCTAGCCGTCTACAGCTCCAGCACTGTCTACAGGGAAGAGGTACTCATTACGCTTTATTTCTTTCCAGGAATGAAGCTACAAAAGGCTTACTTATAATTGACTGCATATTTGGCCAGGTTAGGAGTTATAAAAAATAGCAAATTAATTTTGAAACAAAAAGCACACTCTTCACCTTGAAGGTCTTTTATCGAATGTATTTTATGATAAACCCTCAGCAAGAATTAAGATCAGCAAAGATCTTTATAACCAATTAACAGGGTTTCCCAGTTTGTACTTAATTATGCTTTATTTCCAGTCTTTTAATGTTGGTTAATGATCATGTATAAATGGCAATATATTTGCTTGAGCCAGTCAATTCCTGATCACTTAATATATTTTGTTTAACTTGGAAATACACTACTGTTCAAAAGTAAGATATTTTTAGTCCATTTATTCAGCAAGGATGCATTAAAGGAATAGTTTGCCCAAAAATGAAAATTCTGTCATCATTTGCTCACCCTTATGTCGTTCCAAAGTTTCTTTCTTGTGTTGAACACAAAAGATGTTTTGAAGAATTTTGAAGAACCAAACTGGTCCCCGTAAACTTCCGTAGTAGGGAAATAAATACTATGGAAGTCAATGGGAACCGTCAACTGTTTGATTACCAGCATTCTTCAAAATATCATCTTTTATGTTCAACATAAGAAAGAAACACATACAGGTTTGGAATGGCATGAGGGTGAGTAAATGAGGACAACATTTTCATTTTGGGGTGAACTAATGTGACTTATGTGCCCTCTAGAAGCTTGCGTTCTGCAAAAGAACGTTACTTTATTGTGCCATCCCAAAGAGGCACAAAATCACTTTCACTGACTTTTAAATGAACTGTTCCCTCCTGGTGGAATGACCTGTCCAACTCAATCCGAGCAGCTGAGTCCTTAGCCATCTTCAAGAAACGACTAAAAACACATCTGTTCCATCTTTATTTGACGCTCTAGCACTCTCTATTATAATGCTATTCTTATAAAAATAAACTAACACTAGCTTTTCTAGTCTTTTTGTATTCGATCTATTTGTTTTCTTTTTATATAATTGAAAAAAAAAAACTTGCTACGTGTACTGCGTTAAGCTAACTGAGACTTGTTATAGCACTTGCATATCATTGCTCTTTTGTTGGTTTTGATTGCTTCTATTGTCTACATTTGTAAGTCGCTTTGGATAAAAGCGTCTGCTAAATGACTAAATGTAAATGTAAACTATCCCTTTAAATTGATTTTGAAGTGACAGTAAAGACATTTATAATATTACAAAAGATGTCCATTTCAAAGAAGTGATATTTTTTTAACCTTGTTTATCAAAGAATTCTGGAAAAAAACAATTATCAGAGTTTTCACAAAAACATTTCGCATTACACCATTGAAGATTATAAGAAATGTTTCTTGAGCAAATCAGCATATTACAATAATTTCATGTGACACTGAAGACTGGAGTAATGATGCTGAAAATTCAGCTCGGTCATCACAGGAATAAATTACATTTTAAAATGGAAAAAAAAAGTTTTAAATTGTAATAATATTTCACAATAGTCACGGTCATTTTTATCAAATAAATGCAGCCTTGCTGAGCATAGCAAACTTCTTTCCAAAACATTAAACATCTTACTAACCCCAAACTTTTCAACAGTAATGTATAAAATAAATACACATTTTTGAAAATGAAAGCTAAAATGAAAGATTTTTCTCACTTTACTAATTGATATCTGTATTTTCTTTTTTCATAGATGAGTAAAGCACTAGAAAAAGCCAAAAACCCCAGTCTGGACCTTAAGCCAATGAGCAGTCCATATCCAGATGTGAAGGCCTTTATACAGGGTAACACATTAGCATCCCGCAAGAAGGTAATGCCCATAATCGCAGACTTCCTGAAGGAGAGGGAAAGAAAAGTGTATCAAAGTGGGAACATAGAGGACCTAGATCTGGACGATGATTTCAATCAGGACCAGAGTGACTCACAACAATGTCCCGAGGACGCTGGGATAGAGGACGATGGCCAGGTTCCTCCAACGCCAATGAACAGTCTTGTGGAGGGTTGTCCCTTGGACAATGGCCTACCAAAAATCAGTCCTGAGGTTTTGGTGGAGAAAGTTACCAAGATGGCCAGCATGGAGGACACATCATCTGAGGGACAGTGATGAGAATCTGTTGTCCAAGAGAGTCTTGAATAAGAGCTGGAGAAGGAAAGTCCTTCTGCGTCTTCAAGAGGATGAAGTTCATATCCAACAGTGCTGCATCAGGGCTTGAGAAGGAAATGGCACTTTATTGATCTGGTTAACTCACAAAAGGTACGATACAGTCTGAAGAGACCATTCATTCGAATGGAGCATTACAAAAATACATTATATATAAAATATTTAAAGTTTGACTATCGTAAATAACAATTCAGATTTAGGCTGTTTATTTATTGTTCGCAGTCATATTCATATTTAATCTTCTAAATTAATCTGAAGTCTCATTGAGACATATAAACATTTAAACATATTATCTAAAATTGACAATAAGCACCCAGTGCAAGCTAGCAACTGACAATTAATAGAATAAACTGATTCCGAATGAATTTCCGGTATTATACAATTAATTATAACGTGGTAGCTATCGTTGCTTTTGATACAAATAACATACTTAATTCTTTGTAGTGTTAATTAAAGAAGTTAGCGTTAACAGTGAAATATTATTACAATGTAATAAACAAATACAAATATGTTTAAAAAAATTATATATTTTTTTCCCCTGAGATGACAAAGCTGAATTGTCAACATTCATTGCTCCAGTTCTCAGTGTCACATGATCCTTATAAATCATTCTAATGTGCTGATTTGGTGCTCAAATAACATTTCTTATTATCAATGTTGAAACCAGTTGTGCTGCATAATATTTGTGTGGAAAATGTGACACGTTTTTTTTCAAGATTCTTTGAATAGAAAGTTCAAAAGAACAGCATTCATTTGAAATCGAAAAAGCATTTGTTTGAGTAATGCAAATGTCTTTACTGTCACTTTTGATCAGTTTAATGAATCCTTACTGAATAGAAGTATTTATCTTACTGACCTCAAACGTTTGAACAGTAGTGTATGTACCTAATTGAATATAAACAGCTAAAGATATGGAGTAGTTAATTGTCTTTTGAAGGGGCCTGTAACCTCAAGGGTATTAGGACCATGTAGCCATGCCTGTCTGTGGCGTCTCCCTCCACCTTTCCAGCCTTCCCTGTGGGGGAGCAGAAGTGCTCAAAGCAGCTGAGCCAATGGGAGACAGACAATTCAGTCAGCAGAAGTCAGAAATGTTGAAAAACCTGTACTGACAGTCAGGGCGAGTTCCCTAACACAAGACACAAGATACAGTCACTGAAACTGGTGAAGCTCATGAAACACTTCAGGTCATGGTCAGCAGCTGAGTTCACTGAATGCATTTCTAATTGAAACACTTATCATTTTTAAGACTTTAGACATGGGGACTTACTCAGACCAGAGGGAAGGGTACATGCCAAATGGGTAAGTCAAAATTTACAATGAGGATTTAAGGTTTCAGTTACTATAATACCTGGTCAAAACATATTTATAAGATCAAAACGTACCATAAGAGGTCATAAGCGCATATTGGATGATGATCGCTGCTTTTGCCAAATGTACGAGCTGTTCCATTGCACTGTGAATCGTACAGCAGAAGGACACGAGAGAAATCCTTGTAGCAGTTCTGTGTCTAGTTATTTAGAAAGAGGATTTCAGAAAAAGGAAGTTGCCGTTGAACTGATTTCCGCTACTTTTGTCAATCTTCTTGACTGATATTTGAGACCTAACAACCACAGAAAGACATCATCTCTCATATCCTTTCATCTGACAGACCATCAGATTCTCTGTCATTTATATTTGAAACGAGTTTCACTGCTGTCACAAGTTAAACATCCAAATGTAAATGGAAAAAATTGACAAAAATGTACAGTTTAGTAAGTTATGTTTTTTCAAAGGGGAATTACGTTAATCTTTAATGTTTGATTGAGACCTAACAACCACAGAAAGACATCATCTCTCATATCCTTTCATCTGACAGACCATCAGATTCTCTGTCATTTATATTTGAAACGAGTTTCACTGCTGTCACAAGTTAAACATCCAAATGTAAATGGAAAAAAATTGACAAAAATGTACAGTTTAGTAAGTTATGTTTTTTCAAAGGGGAATTACGTTAATCTTTAATGTTTGATTTCCACTGGCACCACTACAAAAACTTTCATGTCATTATAACTTTTGATGGTTTGAGACTGTAAAATTGAGATGATTTTAAAGCTCTTAATTCTACTATAATCACAGAATAGGTCTTTTGACTTGTTAATTTCCATACCAAATTCCAAGTTCATGTTCAGACAAGAAGAGAATGCATGAAACTTAGTGTCATTAAAAACCCTCAGTGTTTATGTGATATGAACTTATATCCTTAATAACAGCAAGTTACAGAATGAGTTACTGTAGCATCTTACAACCAGGACAAAGGATTTCCCAGCAGGCGATTACTTTACTAAATCTTATAAGAGTTACATCAAAGAACAATTGCTGAAACAGCACACACCTTATGCTTTGCAGTGTGGAGGTATCATGTTGTCTGCCACAATTGTCATACATTGTTCTAAAAAAACGCCCTACATATTTCTTAAAATACATTTTGACATCTGATAAGGTCTTAGATAGGACAACACTGGGCTTGAGATTACACAACAGTGTCTTGATGCTGTATTGACTAGTGAGTCAGTCAGTAACTAAAAACATACAGCCTCCTCAGAGCAGTTATGTTTGAAATAATGTACAATCTCGGAGCAGTCTTGCGGGACAATAGTGTACAGTGTATGTAAAGGTTACAGGGTTGAAGTGAAGACAATACCAACAAGCTCTGAATGAATTTGATAATGGCTTCACATCAGAAACAGGTTGTGTTATGTGACGTTGGACAGAAGCTCTTATGTTGCTGCCAGCAGGAGCACACAGGCTCATTACCTGCCCGGAATCAGCTGAAAACAAAACGAGATTTTCTGGTCATTTGTGCCACGTGTGCTGACGTAAAGAAATACTTGAGGTAGAAACAAGGACAAGTTTTATATTTGAGTTTGTATTTGACAAGTCTGACACAATAGAATTGCTATTTTCAGTATATTTGAACAGTGGTTAGAAAATATGAGCTACAATATTGGAATAAAAGTAGATGCAGTGCATGTTTTGGATGAATCTGTTAAGGTATTAATCTATGTGTGGGATCATATGCAGCTGTTTCAGTTTTTTCACAAAAAAATTGCATGAAAATATATCTCTACATTGAAACCTAGCATTCACTTTGGTGAATAAAAGAACTGAGACTACTTGATGGTTTCAAACGGATTTTCAGTTCAGTAAATTATCAGCATCAGAAAAATGTCAGTGTTGACTCAAATTTTGCACATCACACGTATTACATGCAGCCATTATTTTGTTTTTATGGTTTTTAGGACCTACCTAATATGAAGGAAATTCATTTTAAAATCCTAAACAATTTCGTTACAGTTTGTGTCACAGAGCTGACAATAGTTGTGGCACAAAAAATAAGCACAATTACTCAAAATGTAGCTTAAAACAACTTTAAAACTCACCAGAGTTTGTGTGATGCTGTTGAACTAGTATAGAAAGAAAACCTTCGGGATGAAGGATTTCATAAATGTTTCTGTTTTCAAAACTAATGACAACTGAAGTTACAATTTTGTCCCAAGCTGTTCAAAATAAACTATTTTTAAATAGGTTATATAACCCATTAGAGTTGATGGATCTAAATCTCCGCAGCTATGAAGCCCTGGGCTGACATTGAACGTGTACAGCTGTAGGGTTGTGGGCGGGGCGTTGAAACAGCTCTGGGAGGTGCGGAGACGCGCTCTGATTGGCTGAATTCTGTGTTTGGCGTGAAGGTGCTTTGCTTGGGCGAGGTAGAGAGAAAGAATCGCCCTTGTCGTTGTAAAGGTAAATGGCTAGTTATACATCAGTAGCCTAGAATAAATCAGTTTAACTATAGCGCTTGTAATGTTCTTAGGAAATACTTTTTTTTACCAAATTGTTTTTGAGAAGCATCTCCTGTACGAGGTTATTGAAAAGGTGAGTTTAGCATGTTTACACTGCCATTATTTACATATTTACATAAGGTTTCAAGTGTACACAGCCCTGTTTCTACGTGCAGTCTAATCCAACATGAATTTTTAATGCTTACATCTATCTATCTAATCATCTATCTAATCACTGTTATTATTGATCATAGTTTGCCATTTTCTAGTAAGCCTAGTGTGGTTTTCCTGCCTTTAACTGAACATCAGACTGTCAATTAATTAAAACTGTGTAATTAAAACAAACAAACCTGGAATTTTTATTTGGACAAAATTGAGGAGTAAGTTATTTCCCTGCTGATCATTTAATTGTTCATAATTAATAACATTTTGACATGGGGACAAAGAAGCCCCATTAACTTTCTTTACATGTTCAATTTATACCTGCAGGCATTCAGAAAACGCCAAGACATCAGCCTTCATCCCCGACATGGAGCTCCGGGAGGAATGGCAGGATGAGGAGTTCCCCAGGTAAACTGCACTAGATACATGCACCTGATTTATGTTCATATTAAGTGCAAATGGGAACATTTTCTAGTAAGCCTAGTGTGGTTTTCCTGCCTTTAACTGAACATCAGACTGTCAATTAATTAAAACTGTAATTAAAACAAACAAACCTGGAATTTTTATTTGGACAAAATTGAGGAGTAAGTTATTTTCCTGCTGATCATTTAATTGTTAATAATTAATAACATTTTGACATGGGGACAAAGAAGCCCCATTAACTTTCTTTACATGTTCAATTTATACCTGCAGGCATTCAGAAAACGCCAAGACATCAGCCTTCATCCCCGACATGGAGCTCCGGGAGGAATGGCAGGATGAGGAGTTCCCCAGGTAAACTGCACTAGATACATGCACCTGATTTATGTTCATATTAAGTGCAAATGGGATTAAATAATGTGATCTTTGTAGGCCTCTTCCTGAGGACACACAGAGTCCTGGAGATGAAGAGGGAAGCCCTGGAGCTGAGGGAAACAGGCCTGGTAACCTAATTTCTCCAATTAGTTACTGGCCAAAATATCTGCCTCTTATATAATATCATATATATAGATGCACTACAGTGTTTTTCAGTGTTTCTGAAAGAAGTCTCTTATGCTCACCAAGGCTGCTTTTATTTGCTTTAATATCCAGTAAAAACAGTAATATTGTGAAATATTACAATTTGCAATAGTATTGCAATAAAAAAAATCTCTTTCTTTAGTACATTTGAAAATGTGATTTAATCCGTATATTATATTCTGTATATAATTAATTAATATACTGTGC